CTTGTCTATTTACCCTATCCATGCCCCTCATGATTTCATAAACCTCTAAGGTCACCCCTCTGCCTCTGACATTCCAGGGAAAATAGCCCAGCCTTTCCAGACTCTCCTTATAGGTCAAACCCTCCAACTCTGGCAACATTTTTGTAAATCTTTTCTGAACCCTTTCAAGTTTCAGTTAATTGATGGAGATCAATTGCAATGGCTAGCCAACAATTCTATTATTATCGTGGTATGTGACCCTCAAAATGGTAAAAGGTAAATTAGATGGAGCTTGGACCTAGCAATTTCTATGTTCATAGGAAAACAGTGAAAAAATGTACCCAGGGGCTAATCAGTGTTCAGGATTATGAATATGCTTTCTTTTACCTCATGGGTCAAGAATGGTTGTATATTATGCACAACTGCCATCATTCATTCTTTAACTTCCCAAGGACCAATACAGTAATTTGTAAATACAACTGGGTTACAATGTCCCCTCTGGCTGTTCTTTATAGTTTTTCTCAACTTGTTTTTGCTTCATTTCTCTTTTTCCACTCCTCCCTCCCCCCGAATCCTCATATTCTCTAATTCACCCTACATCTGGTACTTTTTCTACCATTTTCTTCATTAGTACAGCTGTTGGAGTAATATTTCATATTCGGTGGTGCAAAGCAGAGACAAGTACCAGCCTTGGTTCAGGCAATTGCATGTCCTCCTCTGAATCACAAAGTTTGAGTTCATGTCTTGCTCTAGGTCTTTTGCACCAATATCAATGCTGACAGTGCCGTATTGCAAAGTGCTGTAAATTCATAGAACTTGGATGATATCATATCTGGAGTATTGTGTACAGTTTTGAGCTCCTATCCAAGGAAGCATGGAATGAGTGCTCTGGAAGTTCACAAAACGAATCCCTGGGATTGTCTTGGAGGGACAAATTGAAAAACTTGGGTCTGTATTCTCTAGAATTTTGAAGAATAAGAGATGATCTCATTGAAACATACTAAATTCTTATAGGACATAACCGGGTGGATGTAAATGTTTACCCTGAATGGTGAGTCTAGAACACTTCAGAATAAGCATTAGGTCAATTAATACTGAGATAAGGAGGAATTTCTTCACTTGGTGATAAATCATTGGAATTTTCTATCCCAATCGGCTGTGGAAGCTCAGTCATTGAACATGTTAAAAATTATGAGGAGCATGGATAAAGTGAATTAGCCAAGGTCTTTTACCCAAGGTATGGGAGCCCAAAACTAGAGGGCATACACTTAAGGTGAGAGGGGAAAGATTTAAAACGGAAGTAAGGGGCAACTTTTTCACGCAGACGGTGGTGCATATGTGAAATAAGCTACCAGAGGAACTGGTGGAGGCTGGTACAATTACAACATTTAAAAGAAATCAGGATGGGTACATGAACAGGAAGGATTTAGAGGGATATGGGCCAAATGCTGGAAAATGGGACGAGATGAATTTAGGATATCTGGTTGGCATGGACGTGTTGGACCGAAGTGTCTATTTCCACACTGTACAACTTTACGTTCATGACAATCTCCCAAAATCTATTGATTTCTATTGAGTTAATGATAACGTTCAGTCAAGATTTATTTACATGGTGAAGCAGACTCGACAGGCCAAACAGCCCCATTCCCGTTTCTATGTTCCTATACTACAAAGTGAGAGGTGCCATTTTGGATTAAATGTTTATTGAAAGTCACCACCTGCTTGCTTGGGTGTTTGTAAAAACAAACAAAAAGAAAAACCCCATGGTACCATTTTGAACAAGTGTGGGGGAGTTTTCCCTGGGGCCTGGACCAATATTCATTTAAACATCACAAAAACAGATCACACATATACAAAGTTTCATCATACAGAATGAACCATTCAGTAACTGACGTGCAACAAGCTCAACTATTCCATAAGAAAAGCATCACATTTACTCCATATTTATTATATAACGGAATTGCAGCAAGGAAAAATATCTACAAGCTAGTTTCACTGATGAAACCAGAAACATTGGAGATGAAATTTTCAAATGACTATTATTTACTGCTGGCATTAACCCATTTAAAAGGATTTTAGGTGTTTTAAAATATATATCCAACAGATTATTCACTGGTGTATATTGAGATTTGGTTTAAGTCTTGTATTGTTCCAGAACTAAAAGGAAATTTCTGAGAGGAAAACTATTAGCTTGTCTGATATGTGTGGATCTTATGCAAGGTTAAATTTTGGTCATGCTCCATATGTCATTGTTGCAAGTTACAGTGTTCCGGACACTATTTTAATTTTACATCAATCATGAATTTTCTACGTCATGGTTTAACAAAACTGTACATTACAGAAAAAATAGGAAGTTGCCATAAAACCAAGTATTGGGAATAATAAAAAATCATTGTTTAACCTGCTAAAATCAGCACCACTCGTGGTAATGGCTTAAATTTGGTATCAGTAGCCCTACCATTCCAGTAACCCCAGCAATCAGCTTGTTGTAATAGCTATAGGTTCTGACAATTGGACAGCCAAACCACCTTCCTGTTTAAGGCTATAGACTTATCAAAATATGCAGAAAGGAGGTATATGACTTACACAGAACCCTTCATCTTCATGTTGGAGGGTGTGTCATGCAGACTCCAGCCAGTTCCACAGATCATGAAGCCAAAGGAACCTTGGAAAGGTACGATTTGAGGCCAGTAGTGCTTCTTCATGTTTCACAAAATACAATGGGTTGCTGCCAGTCTGAACCTGCGTCCCTAAACCTCCTCTCCAAGCAGCACCTATCTGTAACTGCCATTGCTTTTCAGGCAGCCAACATTCATATGGCTTAGAACTAGCAAGCTGCCTTGAAATATCCATTTGACATTCAAGCTCAATGAAATTGATTCAAATAAGTTTCGGACCATGGTACAGTCATGGCCTCTACCTTAACTATAGATTTCAGTTCTGATGGAAGTTCAATTTAATTTGTGATCAGAAAAGATAATCAGCGGAGTATATGGTTAAGAACCCTAGTGTTGAATGCTAGCATTGAGAAAGAATTTTCGTCCCTCAAATAAGTCTGTTGAACAGTTTGTGAGTGCCCTCTGCTGCTTTGCCGAAGCTCTGCTGGCTGTGGGAAACCAGATTTTGTAATCTGGGGTGCCGCTTATTTCTTAAGGCTGGCACAATGTTTAGTCTATAACAAGGACTAGTAGTAACCAGTTTTATTTAATTTTCTAATACTTATCTTTTATCAGTAAAAAAGCTAATTGTGCCGTCACAATTGTGATAAAAGTTAGCAGCTGTTAATAAACCATGTAGTATTCAAGGCTTCATTAATAGGGCAGAAAATACAAGAACACAGAGATTATGATAGACCGATAAAAGTCATTGGTTAGACCTCGGCTAGAATATTGAAGACAGTTCTGGGCATTACACTTTAGGAAGGATGGGAATGCATTGGATAGACTCCAGAACAGGTTGATGAGAATAGTTCCAGAGTTGAGACACTTTAGTTATGAAGAATAGATTTGAAATGTTGGGGTTGTCCTCCTTAGAGAGAAGGAAGCTATGAAGCAAGGTGACGGAAGTTTTCAAAATCATGAGGGGTCTGGACAGTGTATATATGGAGAAACTGTAACCACTTGTAAACAGATTGAGAACTAAAAGGCATCATTTCAAAATGTTTCGTAAAAGGTAAGAAAAAAAGCCCTTCTACACAGCGAGTAGTTAGGGTCTGGAATGCACTGCATGGAAGTGAGGTGGAGGCACGTTCAATTGAGTCAGTCGAGACAGCATTGGATGATAAATGAAATATAAGCAATGTGCAGGGTTAGAGGGAAAAGGCTGGAGATTAGGACAAAATGAAAATGCTCAGAGAATTAGAGCAGACATAAGAGGTCAAATGATCTCCTTCTGCTCCATAAAAATTACGCGCTTCTATGAAAGATTGGGCAGAGGAATCACAGAATCCCTGCAGTGTGGAAGCAAGCCATTTGGCCCATCGAGTCCACACTGACACCTGAAGAGCATCCCACCCAGACAAACCCCCAATCATATCCCTGTAACCCTGCATTTCCATGGCTAATCCACCTAGCCTGCATATCATTGGAAACTAAGGGCCATTTATCATAGAGCAATCATTTATCATAGAGCACAAGGGCAATTTATCAACCAAACCTGCACATCTTTGGATTGTGGGAGTACCCAGAGGAAATCCATGCAGACACAAGGAGAATGTGTAAACTTCAAACAGTCATCTGAGGGTGGAATTGAACCCGGGTCCCTGGCGCTATGAGACAGCGCTGCTAACCACTGAGCCACTGTGCTGCCCTAGACTTCAAGTGATCAGATTTCCACCTTCGAGTACAACCCTGCTTGGACAGTCACTGAGGCAAGCAGGTTTGCATGATATTCTTCCCATATAGCAACTGGCCATCTCAACACAGGCAAAATGCTCACAGAGGAAGAAAGTGGTCCCTAATTGGCCAGTTAAGTAATTGATTCAGTGGGGAAATTCTGGGTATGTTACCCATTGCCTTTCAATGCTATTTTGCCAGCATTCTTGCCTTCCAGTGGTCCCGAAAGACCTAGTAAAAAACGCAGCACTTTGTCTCAATGGTTATTTCCTTCTGATAATATGAGATGGCAACAAAAATGTTACTGTTGGAAAAAGCTTTGAATTTATCTAGAGTACTCTATATATTAACTATTCCATAAGAGAAAAAATCCTAGGAGAATTTGAATTCACCTTGTTTAAGATATTCATATTACAAATATTATAAAAATTAAATACGTAAATATTCCCAGAATTTTTCAAGACCATTACCTAATCAATCACATTACAAAGATCATTTTTCACTCTTACTATAGGTATCTGAATGAAGGCTCAGATAAATTGTCATAAACCAAAATGACCAAAGCCCTGCATAGTACCTAATGAAAAATAAATAAAAACAGCTTTAGCCAGAGGCTACCTTGCAAAAATCTATATTCAAAAACATTACTTTGTAGTTGAAACCCACCAAAATTTTAAGTTTCATACCTCATAGTTCCATTTGTGTCTTTCTATATGTATCATTGTCAATTGCTAATCTTGTGAGTCTTGCTCCATAGTAATCTATGATGTAATTTGAACCATCAGCAGGTCCCACAATCTAGAAAGAGTTTAAAAAATAGTCAGTCAATTGCAATAATTTCATACCACTAACAAAATAATTACTCCATTTATAGAATTCAGCCTGTGGTTCCAGATAGCTGATTTTAATTTTAAAAAAATGTAATTTAAGAGTAGAGTGCCCATTTTGAGCTGGGTTACTTTGTCTACTTTGTTTTCCATATATGCAGCGAACTCAGAAGGCAGAACATAATGAATTGAAATAGATGTGAAATCACGAAGGATGAGAAGCCATTTGATGCAAATGCTGAAGAAAGCGTGAAAAAGAAATGTTTGTGATAAAACTTTAATTGAAGAGTAATACAGGTGACTTTGAAAAAGAAATGACGTATGTGACAAGATGATGCTCAACGGAGAAGAAGTATAAAGCAGGTACACAAATTTGATGAAATACCTCATGTGGCCGTTATACTTGGTCAAAGTAGTAGACTTTAATGAGCATCTTAAAAGAACACGTGAGGTTGACAGGAAGAGAAGTTTATGGAGAGAATTCCAGAGCCTGAGCACTCACATCCATGTAAATATGTCATCCGTAAACCTATAAGCCGTAATTTTGTGTAATTATCTTGTGTGGGAGCTTATTAAAAGCTTTTTGAAATTACAAATACACTATAATCACTGGGTCCTCTTTACTGACCCCAACTACGTTCTCAAAATAGATCAAGAGTGATCTATAGTTTACTCCTGTATGACATTTTATCCTTCCTTGCCACATTTAATTTAAAAAAAAACACACAATCTACAGTTCATTTCTTTGGAAATGTAAGTCTCCTCCTTTAATACTAACTTTCATGTCACTATTTCCTTCAGGAATGTGAACCAAGAATGACTATTTTAAATGTTTCCAATTGTCTGTCTACTGCAATATTTTCAATTAATTTCCAATCTCTCTTATCCAATTCATCCCTCATACTTATGTAATTTGTTTTGTTCATATCTAAAACCATAAAGACTTAACTATAAATTGTTCTCAAACTCAACATAAAATTTTATCACATTTTGATCATTCTTCCCAGAGGCTGCTTTATGACAAAGTTATTAATTAAACTTGCCTCATTGCACTAAACTAGATTTAAATAACCCATTCCCCAGTTAGTTCCTTGGCAGACTGATCTACAAAATTATCTTGAGTGCATTCTATGAATTGTTTTCCAACATGATTGTTAAACATTTGCTTTGCCTCGTCTATTTGATGATTAAAGCACTCACGATTACTGTACTATCTTTGTGACAGTAGCCACTAATTTCTTTCCCAACACTACAATTAATATCTGGGGTATCCATAAATTAATTCCACCACTATTCTTTACTGCTTGCCATTTCTTAGTTGTACCCAAGCTAAATCTGCATTTAGATTTTCACAACTATGATCCTTTCTCCCTAATCTCTTGATCAAGGAACTCTTCCTCTTTTTCAATTTTTCTTGTTCTTTTGTGAAGATCAAGCATTCTGGAATAACTAACTCAGTCTCAATCTTTTATTCTTGTGTTGATTAACAGTAACACAGCATAATTTTATGTAAAAGTAGATGATGTTTGACATCCCAAGTACTTAAGAAAATGAAGCCATAAGGCTTCCACAGCTCTGAACAAACAAATTTACTATGCAATATAAGAGTAAAATGAGATATATATCCAACTTATACTCTTGTATTCAGAATTAGTGCACTAAACATGATTGACAGAAAGAGGGACTGACCACCCACAGAACACATCAATTAAAAGATCCAGTCAAGACAGATTCCTTGGATTTCTCAGCAACCACCTACACATCAGTAACACTGTGGGTCAACAACTTTTATTAAATGTGTTTCATCTATACAAGGGATTCTAATTCTTCACTTTCAAAGAGCTAGCCATGAAACACAATCAAAACCACTCTACCACAAACTGCCTATATCCTGGTTGTTCAACCTCTTCGCCTAAATCCAGGATTCCCAAGCAACCAATTACTGCAACAATTTCAGCTTTGTTACGAATCTTCCTTTTTTGTCCGCATTTGTAAGAGTTAAATAGAGATTTCTATGTTCACACCAAAATTAAAAGAGCAGAATTTTCCAGAAGAATTTTGCACATCCTAAAGGCCAAGATCAGCAGAACCTCCAGAAAGGCCTTGGGAACCACAAAGGACTAACTGCTAAAGACATGGCTCCTCAGATATCCTTCAAGTTCGTCTGAAGATGGCAGTAAGTAGAAAGAGAGAGAAAAAAAGAAAAAACACGAAGAGGAAAAAGAAAACAAACGGGTGGAGCGGATGGGCTCTGATTTAGGAGGCGTACTTTGCTGCCATCTTGCACAGACCACTAATGGTTGAAAACCAAGACAGAGATGGGGCAAACTCCATGTAGGAGTGTTGATTTTTAGTTGTACAGTAGGAAATGAATCAAAAGAAGTTAATGGCTTTTGTGCTGTTCGAATGGACTCTGGGTTCAGTTCTAGGAATCAGTAGGGGGCTAAGATTTGGAGTCAGGATGGAAAAGATGTCTTGGGGAGTTGACAAAGTCCGAAGAGCAGGAGCTTTGTGTCAGGGAAAGTTGTGACAGGCTTGGAAGAATTAATATTTTAGTGCAGCTGAGAGAGTGGGAGTTGAAAACCATAAGGAGTATTTGCCTGATACAATTGAGCAAGATTAGAGCTTAGGAAAAACCCAAGGGCAATGTTTAATTTGGTGAAGCTACTTGTCAGCAAAAAGCTGGAGATGTGCGTGTGAATAAATGTATTGAGGGTGCAATTTTCAGACTCCAGGTTGAGGTGGATACCAGAGAAGGGGATGTTTAACTTGAACAGAAGCAATTGTTGGAACTGTTCCAGTAGGAATTTCAAGGCTGGATTGGCAAAAGTGGAGAATTATAATATTAATGATCCCAACATGTCATTACTATCAGGGTATGCTGGGGTGGGGTGGTTAGAGAAATCTGTAGCATGTGTCTTGATATTTGCTATTTGATGTGCTCTGTGGGATGTTTGATGCTACCACACATGTTAATTCTGGGTATTACAAAAAAAGCCATACACGCATTGTGGATTGTATTATTGTTCTTATTTGTATAATAAAACATGGTTTGTTCAAATCCTTAGAAGCTTGTGGCTTTATTTTCTTAGTAAGTCCTGGAACTCACATTTTTTCTAAAACTAAAGGCTACTGCTCCCAAACCAGATCATAACAAAGTTGGCAGCCTTGTTTGGAATCATGCTGGCTTTATATCAAACAGCAAGATTCATCCAGCAGATGCTGCCCTGAATTTCTCTGAGCTCCTAGACCCGGCTTTCTTGATCATCTTTTCTAACTGTGCTGACCTACTCGTGACTCTGTCCTACTGTTCTGGCCAGTTTGTACCTCAGCAACTAAAGATGAACATGATCTGAACTCCTCATCCAGGCTGCTGTCTGCAACTAAAAACCGGAAGAACTGCGGATGCTGTAAATCAGGAACAAAAACAGAAGTTGCTGGAATCTCAGATAACAAGGTGTAGAGCTGGATGAACACAGCAGGCCAAGCAGCATCAGAGGAGCAGGAAGGCTGACATTTCGGGCCTAAACCATTCTTCAGAAATGGGGCAGGGGAAGGGGGTTCTGAAATAAATAGGGAGAGAGGGGGAGGCGGATAGATGATGGATAGAGGAGAAGATAGATGAAGAGGAGACAGACAGGTCAAAGAGACGGGGATGGAGCCAGTAAAGGTGAGTGTAGGTGGGGAGTTAGGGAGGAGATAGGTCAGTCCAGGGAGGACGAACAGGTCAAGGGGGTGGGCTGAGGTTAGTAGGTAGGAGATGGGGGTGCGGCTTGAGGTGGGAGGAGGGGATAGGTGGGAGGAAGAACAGGCTGGGCTGGTTTTGGGATGCGGTAGGGGGAGGGGAGATTTTGACGCTTGTGAAGTCCACATTGATACCATTGGGCTGCAGGGTTCCCAAGCGGAATATGAGGTACTGTTCCTGCAACCTTCGGGTGGCATCGTTGTGGCACTGCAGGAGGCCCAGGATGGACATGTCGTCTGAGGAATGGGAGGGGGAGTTGAAATGGTTCGCGACTGGGAGGTGCAGTTGTTTAGTGCGAACCAAGAGTAGGTGTTCTGCAAAGCGGTCCCCAAGCCTCCGCTTGATTTCCCCGATGTAGAGGAGGCCACAACGGGAACAGCGGATACAGTATACCACATTGGCAGATGTGCAGGTGAACATCTGCTTGATGTGAAAAGTCTTCTTGGGGCCTGGGATGGGGGTGAGAAGGGAGGTGTAGGGGCGGGTGTAGCACTTCCTGCGGTTGCAGGGAAAAGTGCCGGTGGTGGTGGGGCTGGACGGGACTGTGGAGCGGACAAGGGAGTCACGGAGAGAGTGGTCCCTCCGAAAAGCAGATAAGGGAGGGCAGGGAAAAATGTCTCTGGTGGTGGGGTCGGATTGCAGATGGCGGAAGTGTTGGAGGATGATGCGTTGGATCTGGAGGTTGGTGGGGTGGTACGTGAGGACGAGGGGGATTCTGTTTTGGTTGTTATTGCAGGGACGGGGTGTGAGGGATGAGTTGCGGGAAATGTGGGAGACATGGTCGAAGGCGCTCTCGACCGTTGGTGGTGGTGGTGGTGGTTGGCGGGGGGGAGTTGCGGTCCTGAGATGTACGGGAGTGGAATGCCTCAACCTGGGAGCAGATGCGGTGGAGGCAAAGGAATTGGGAATAGGGGATGGCATTTTTGCAGGAAGATGGGTGGGAGGAGGTGTATTCTAGGTAGCTGTGGGAGTCGGTGGGCTTGAAATGGATATTGGTTTCCAGGTGGTTGCCCGAGATGAAAACAGAGGTCCAGGAAGGAGAGAGAGGTATCAGAGATGGTCCAGATGAACTTGAGTTGGGGTGGAAGGTGTTGGTGAAGTGGATAACTGTTCGAGCTCCTCGTGGGAGCATGAGGCTGTGCCGATACAGTCATCAATGTAATGGAGGAAGAGGTGGGGTTTAGGGCCAGTGTAGCTACGGACGAGGGATTGTTCCACGTATCCTA